CAAACGAGTGGCCGATTATGCCGTCGGGTGTGATGTCTATGGCTTTCATCACTTCAATCAATGCTATCTCTAAAGCAGTCGTCGAACAGAACTTTGCAGTCATTGTCGACATCAGAGACTTGTCTTCAGTTAACAATAATTTTTTCAAATCGATGTCAAAGTCTTTTAAAATCTGATGGCATTCCTCCACTTTATCACTAAAAATCTTGATTGGCATCAAAGCCTTAGCCATTGCAGGCCATTGTCCGCCCAAACCGGGGAACAGTAGCCAAAGGGGTCTCAATGTCTTGTCTTTCATAACTCCCATCTGTTTCTTGTATTCGTATTTCATTTCATTGTTTTCTTCACTTATTTTCTTCACTATAAGTGAACCTAAAATATAGTGTTTTTTCTATGAGTTAAAATTATCAATCTATAAGTTTATAAATATATTTATAAATTGATTTTTAAATTAAAAAATATATAGAGACAGTCACTTCTATGTAAACTAAAACATGAATAACATGATTAACTCAAAAACATGTTTGGTATGATTGGTATTATAACTTTATTAAATTTACTAAATCATATTTACAAATTAGTTTTTAAAACCTATCTTGATGGATTTTATCGGCTCATTCCAATGAACTATTCAAATTTGTTCTAGGTCATATACTTAAAAAGTTACATACAATATTTTGATGAATTATAAAAATTGATTACTTCCTAACAAGCGGGTTGTGATGACAAAGAGATCGCTATAAAAATAACCAAGGTATTCAACTATTCCCGACCTTACATAGAAGTGACCGCCTATTTTGTATTAATAAGATTCTAATGCTTGCTAAATATGTAAGTATAAAACCATTTAAAGAATTTTTCTAAATATCGTTTACTGTATATACAATATTTATTAAACAAAATTGTATAATGAATAAGCCCAATCATTTCAGTAAAATTCTTAATATGAATAATTTTTCATTTATAAATAATATAAAATTAATTACAAAGTATGATAGAATCTTAATAAATATTTCCTATACAGTAAACGCTATTTAGCAAAAAGCTTTTAAATATTAGCAGTTTTAAAAACATCAATTAATTCGCTTGTAATCAGCTAAATAAAATTAATTATAAAAGCATTTACAGTTGCGAAAGTGATAACCCACTAAAAATAATTAATTAAAATTTCTATAAATATTTAAATTTTGAGTTGCAGTTTATTCCAATATTTTTAATTTATTATATAATATTAGACGTTACACCGTTTACAACAATATACCGGATAATTTGCATAATTACATAATTTGAAAATTCGATTCTGGCTTCATTTTAAAATAATACTCATATTTTTCATACCTCTAAACGGCATTCCCGATGAGTTTACAGTTGGTGTATATTTCATGGTTTGTGCCAAAAGTGCCAAAAAATCATTTGTGATTTTCTTGGGATTGTTTTCAATGAAATCCATGATATGTTTGACTGATTGCTGAGTTCGGCCGCAAATGTTGACAATTNATGATATGTTTGACTGATTGCTGAGTTCGGCCGCAAATGTTGACAATTCTGGGTATAGTTTGTGCTATTCTTAAGCCATCACTGCTTAACAACTTATAGTTGGGTTCGAGTATTATGTGTGCATTTGTGCCGCCGATACCGGAGTTATTGATTGCGGCCAACCCTTTGAAATAAATTATTGTAAAACAATATTTAAAAAAGCGTGCAATTAAATATAATTCAAATTTTTAAAATACAAATTACCTGGTTCATAAGGGTATGGTTTAAGAACAGGCATTAATGGTGGGCAATAGACCGCACACTCGTCCTTCATTTTAGTCATATTAAGATTGGGAGGAATGCATTCATTCTCATAGGATATCAACACTTTTATAATGGATGCCGTCCCCGACCCAGACTCAGCATGACCCATGTTACTTTTCAATACACCCAGTGGCAGTGGTTCCTTACGTCCCGGTCTTTTACAATAGGCGTTGTATATTGCCTTTAACTCCAAAGGATCGCCAAGCTAATTGAAAGTCACATTTAGATTTGCAGTTTAATTATTTCCCTTATATGTTACACTCGAAAACTAACTATAAATATATTTATCGTATTCGAATTAAATACTCCAAAATATTGATTACAACAATGCTAATAATTTTTGAGTAGTGTCTCAGTGGCCCAATACTCAAACACCATAGGCTGGTAGTTCAAAGGACACAAATGAACGTGGGAAGCTTTCTTTTGCTATGAACTCAAGTATGTGTTAGTCATACATACGGTTACACTGATAAGACTTTGTTGTTTAATATCATGTCATTGATGCTTGTTATTTTTTTGTTCAGTCCTCCCACAAAATATCAACAGTAGTTGAGTGGCGGGGACTTAAAATAACGAGTGTCATTCATTTCCATTAAATTATGCCCATGTCACGTGACCTATGCACAATCTGTAAATTAGTTATTAGATCTAAATCACACTGAACAGATTGGTGTACTTTTTGTTTATAAATTAAACTAACACTTTACACACAATATTATCAATGTAAAAACTTCGTTTTTGAAAATGTAAGTGGCGCAGTTACCATGTTAAATTTTCATAGAATAAAAAAATTTATAATCCAAAAAGTATGGGCTATAAATTAATGAAGAGATGAGGATTGGATAATTCGTTTTGGAGTATTTAATTATAATACGATAAAGATAGTTTCACAAGTAACAGTAACAGTAAACCAACCTTAGTCCCAGTAGAATGAGCCTCAAAATAAGTAAGTTTCAAGGGGTCGACATTAATTTCCTTATAGGTGTCAACCATGAGCTCCTCCTGTGACTCGGATAACGGCAGAAACATACCTAACGTCTTATGGCCGTCAATGTTCATGCGGGCCGACCGCACACTGGCGTACACTCGACGCGCACACTCACGCCTCTGTAGAAACACTCCGCATACGGCCTCCCCCTTCACGTACCCGTCGGTCCCCTCGTCCAGTGGGGCCGACACCCCCCGGGCCGAGCAAACGCCCAACTCCTGTGACAGTTGCAGTAGAATAGGCTCAAATGTCATGTGTGTGCCGCACACGATGGCGTTGTCGATGTGACCTAGACACATTTGATACATGCAACTATAGTTAAAAGTCGATATGAGAAGGACCATTCTGAAACGCTGTATATGTCTGTGCAAGCAAACAGTAAATGAAGTATTTTACGTAATACTGTTTAACAAAGAATTAGGCTATATTACGTAAAATACTTCAGTTTACAGTTTACTTACGCGTACATATAGAGTACAGTATAGTGGGTATCGCTTATTTAGCATGCGTGCCATATTACCAGTGACAAAATTTATAATTTTTTCTCAATATAAAAATTTGTTTTACTATAATATTGAAAATTCTGTCAGTGATAGTATGACACCCCCACTGATAGTATAGTGTGACCAACTTAAGTTTAGTAATTAGTGAACATTTTGATAAAATAATTGAATAAATAGAGGACAAATAGTGGACAACATATTTTACAGTGTAATTGAATTACAATTTTTAAAAAATATTTTTTCTGCTGATCTCTCTAACGGCAGAAATTTTTGATTATTTTTGTAATTATTTATATACATTCTTCTATAAATTTGCTGTATTTAAACTGTATATAAGTTAGTTAAATGATAATATTTTTTATTATAATTATACTGTGAAATGCAGTTTGTATAGTATAGGACCTACACTATAGATAGTTTCATGCTACAATTATTTTTATAAATAAGGCATTTTATATTTTTCACAAATAAAGGACATTCGTTGTCTACAATTACTCCCTTAAAACATAGAGAACAGACACCTAAAATAGGAGACTGTCCTCTCCAATAGAGGACGGTTGGTCACACTGTGATAGTATGTCACTGATTGGATGACCAAAATATGGGTTAGGTTGTGCTTTAGGCCGCATGAAATTGAAAACTTTTGAGCATATTCGTTATTTCATATTCGTTTTCAGCACAGAAAATGACATTAAAAAAGTTTTCAATTTCATGCGGCTTAAAGCACAACCTATCCAAAATATGTTAATCATAGGACCTAGTATAAAAAATGAGTCGCATTGCTCTAATAATATAGTCCATACCTAGCCGTAGGTCGTTCATAGCCAGACAAAAGGCAGTGCCCGACCCGGAACAGGCGGTGTCCACCGCCATCGACGGACCCTTGAAGTCAAACACAAACGATATGGTACTCGAGTAGAAGGACTTCATATAAGACATGTGTTTAAATTCGGTCGTCATACACGAGATCAGATCGGGCTGAGCTTCCTCTGGATAGCCATCGGTCATGGCATATGTCATAACACCGACGTACACACCTGTCTTACTGCCACGTAATGTTTGCGGATTGTAACCTTGTTGAATATGTTAATATATATGATAATCTCACCGAGTTGTGTTGTAGCCATTGAAATTTAGAGTTTAGAAAACTTACCAGCGTCAGCTATGGCCTGGTAGGTAACCTCCAGAAGCATCCTGCTCTGGGGGTTCACCAGGTTCGACGATTGTTCGTTGAGTCCGAAGAAAGCGGAGTCAAACTTATTGAAGTCCATTATCTTTCCCATCCGTGGGTTTATTTCCAATAAATCTAGTGGACAATCAAATTAATAGTTAATTCACTTAAAAGCTTGTAGTAAGTTGTAATTCTATATTACCACGATCATTATATATACCATAAATGATAACATATAGATGAATTTTAAACAAATAAAGCTGAACATATTATTATATAGGTTTATCTTTGACATCTGGTAAGATTTTGTTGCTCATGGCTAAATATTAAAATCTTTTTGACATAATCTCCTACACATAGTACACTCAAAGATTTTAATAATATTAGATTAATGTTAGATATTTAGACAATAAGAGTAATGTTAACTAATTTTGATTATATACGAACCGTTGATTCTCATATAGTGTGTAAGGAATAAATTAATGAAATACACTTCATTTCACTGTTTTAACATGGTAGGTAATTGTTTGTCAGGTCAGATTTCCTAATGAAAAGTGGTTGGTCCAGTATATAGAGGTAATGTTTGCCGATATTGATAGTTTTGACACTTAAAACTTCATATATTTGTCATATTTATTCATTCATAGTTTTAAAATCGATCGATTAGTTTGAGTATCTTGGTTAAACTTTAAGTAAACATTTATATTTCGTTTAATGATTTATATAAGTTTACATTTATTCATAAAATCAGTATTTTACATTGAAAAATTAATAAATAGTAATATTGATAATTATGAATAAATCGTGTTTTATCAAGCTACTCGATTCATTTAAAAAATATGCCGTGAAATGAAGTGCATTTTATTAATTTATTCGAACATACTATGTGAGAATCAATGGTAAATATTTTTCTTAATAAAATTTTTTAATTATTATATGAATAATTTGACTTTTATTATTTGTCAAATTATTAATTAAACATAATCTATGCTATGGAAAGTTGAAGGGAACCCTGTACGCTTAATTAATAATACAGTATTAATATTGATTAAGGTTTATTGGAATACCAATACAATAAAAAATTAAGAATTCAATGTCGTTTATTTTAAAACATAAAAAGTACAGAGTTCCCTTCAACATTCCATAACACATATGTGTCAGGGAAAGCCAGACAGTTCAAATGCAATTACATTACGATAAACTTTTGGTAACATTTAAAGCGTATTTGAGATAGAAATATACGAAAAGGTTACATGAACGCTATGAATAATATAAAATAAAAATAAAGTTAATATCGTTTTCAACGTTATGCTGTCATACAGTATTGTAAGCAGAGTTCATGACATATTTTGGTTTATTTCATTTTATTGATCATATTGACCAATGAGTTACCTATAGCTCATTGTAATGCATTAGGACTTGATGCTGTCTGGCTTTCCCTGACACATATGATATATAAATAAATAGCTAACGTTAATATGATTGTCCAAAACTCATATTATCTAGTCGTAAGCAACAATATTTAACAACATGTCAAAGATGGTACTTAATTGGGTCTCAAACTTAATTTAACAGGACAAGGAAAAGGGTCGTACACTCAATAAATAGAATATAATGAATAGAAAACTTTTTTGAACATGTATATTATTTTATATAAAATTTAATGGTAGGTCACTTAGCATTACAAAGACACTATGACTTGCAATTTATTAAAATATGTCAAAATCAATGCCTTAGGTTGAAACTAAGTTATTCCCGCACCCACCATAAATTTGTGAACGATTCTTTTAAATTCATTGTTAGAATATGGTTGAGACCCATTGACATATGATCCACTGGGTGCTTAAAAGGGTTATACAGTGTTTGACAAAACCCTTTGGACTCGATGTCTTAATATTACTATGTGTTAAAGTTGAGCTAGATCAATATAAAATTTTTGAGAAATATGGTTTTGTTGCACCAACATGTTGATATGCCCTATTTGTGCCTGCTCAAAAGGGGCCGGGATGGGGAACGGGTCATCGAGATCTCAAAAACTATAAGTGATAATCGAATTCTGATTTTTGGAAATGATGCG